GATGTCACTGATGGGCTTACCTGAGCAGGTGAGATCCAGGATGGAGGGAGAGGAACCTGATGTTACACAATCCATAAAAGCAGATCCAGACTGAACACAGTCAGTGTTGATGAACCACACAGATCTATGTGAGGACTCCTCTCTCCATCCCATAGAAAAAGCAGAGCCACAGTCCAGCTCTCTACAGAAAACAGCTGCTTCCTTCAGGGTCCAGTGAAAGCCATCTACTGGTCTCCAGTCTCCTTCATATTTCATCTCCAGTGTTCCTGCACAGCGACTGACTCCTCCCACCAACCTGACAGGTTCTGAACAGAAACAAGAGAGTCGTCAGTAAAGAAATTAATATAATTAATAAAATATCAAACTAAAACTTGAATGCTGATTCTGCTTCATTGGTTCTTTATTTCTCTTTTCTTTGTCTATTTACCCATTGATGTGTTAGTGCCTTCAGACTGGAGTCCTGGAGAAATATACACATATTTGTTGTTTTGAGTAAATGTAATAGAAATCCACAAATACATATTTTTCTTTAATGTATTTGCAATTTTCATCAAGAACTTATTTGGATGCTGATACATTTATATTCAGACAGTTGAACCTGCATTACAAACAAGACTGTTTTTTCGATGTTTCCATCCATTTCAGCCAATCACAGAAGAGTATATGAAAGGGTATTATTTGTTGTGATTATACGAAAAACAGGAAATTTATAATAAAAAAAAAATAAAAAATTTGTTTTAAATCTTATTAAGATAGAAAGCAAAGCATCCTGAGGGGAGGGGCTAAAGAAAGAGAAATGTCCGAAGTTAAGAATACATCAGCTCACATCCAAACATCTCCAACACACCATTACATAGAATCACAACAAGCATTGTGTTGCTTGAGTATACTTCAGTGTGAGAACCTTTCAGACATAAGCAGTCATTAGCTGACAACTGCTGTTGAAGTTTCTCTGAGTACAGTTGTTTGGCAGCTCTCACCTCATGGCTGAACCTCTGCTTAGACTCTTTAAACCTGTCCTTGTCTCCTCTCCTAAACACTTCCTCCTTATTCAAGAGTGTGTTTTACGCATCGCTGTGTCCCGTTGAGTGTTGTGTAACATAACTGTTGTGCTTGTTGCTGCCGTGATATTGTTGTTCCACTCTGCTGAGCTTTGCTGTGTTAAAATCTGCCACTGCGAGCACAGTCAGTAAACTGTACTTTAGTAGTTTAAGGTCCAGTGACCCATCCGCCGAGCCTGAGTTCACCAGTTGGGCTTCTGTGTGATAGAGTTACAGTTACTGTACTTTACTGCTGCAGTGAGGATCTGCCTTGTATTGAGTGCCTCCTACTCTTCCTTCTTCTATCTTTTCTGGCAGGAACATGTTTGAGCAGTCGCTCCCTGATGGACATTAGAGAGAATGCAGGTTTAAGACTCTTCATCATCGGCTTCACCAGTCAGAACTGGAGGTTGTCGTCTGGTTAGAATTTGATCTACTCGATATCTTCATTGTGTTTGTTCATGTAGTTATTGTCCTACTGGTCCATCTGTATACTCTGTAAAGACCATATCTACTTCCTGTCTGTTCTGAAGACGGTTCTCTCCTCTGGTGGTCCTCCTGATGTTTGTCTTTGGTTTTTTGTGGAGTTTATCTTCATCTGAACAGAGACTGTTCTTTGTTGTACAAATCATAAAGTCCTCTGAAAATAATCAGCAGGAATAAAACTGAGCGAGCCGTAGATGCTCTCATATTTTGACGTTCTTCCCAATGAAGATCACCAGCTCCTCAGTCGTCCTGAACGCTTCTACATCCAACTGTTCGCCGTCGTGGCTGTCAAGGTTGTACCCAAACATCAACCATCTAGTGGTGGGGTTTATATGTTTTCCGAAATGATTGTCTTACCTCTTGTCTGTAATCTTTTATCTTAGTTTAATTATTAGTTGGTGGGGGTTTATAAGGTGGAGCTGGTCGTCCACCAATCACAGGCTTGGTGGTTCCATCCTCCTGTCCACATGTTGAATAAACTGATCCTAAAGTCACACCAGCAGCTTACATGGTAGCTCACAGCCATCTATGTGTGCGTGTGAATGAATGAGAAGCAAACTGTAAAGTGCTTTGGATAAAGGTCCTCGAAATACGCAGTAAATTAGTTTAGTTACCACTAAGTTACAGCAGTAAGTTAGCTGGCAAGCTAGCTTGATGTCAAGGGAATGCTGGTGGTGTTAATAGTAAAGCAATCACATCCCGACCTTTCCCAGCCACGAAGGTGTTAATTTTAGCTCCACAGGTTTTTAGGTAGAAACGTAACGTTCGGGTAACAAGTATCATTACTCCACAACGTTTAACCATGACAAGTTCCAAAGCCACTACACCAGCCTGAAACCATTGATGAGAGTATTTGGAGCAGAGCTACGCTGTGATTGGCCAGTCAGCGCTAGAGGGGCGGGACTTAGTGAAGAGTCAATTGAAAGCTTAATTGCTATCATTAACGACTGTCTCAACATTTGGTTTCCAGGATAACTCTGGTTCTCTGAGTGAGGTATCGGAGCACACAGCCCTTCTTGCTTCTGATTGGTGGAGGAACTACACTTGAAGATGGTGAGTTGGGGGCTAAGAAGTGTTATGACTGATGTGTTGGCAGTGGAGCTTTGTGATTGGTCACGTCAGAAGCTGCTTCAGTTCTCAGAGAACCAGAGTTATCCTGTTAACCAAACCTGCTCTGTCCTACAGTATATTGTTAGCTGTTGCCATTTATAGATTGTGTTTAGGTTTGGTTACTATATGACATGTGTGACTCAATGACAGGAGTCACAGTGTCATTCCAGAAACAACAACATGCATGGACTATGTGGTCAGCTGATCATCTTCAGTCAGTTTGGACCAATCATCTTCAAACCTGCATGTAAACAGTCAGCTTACCTGAGACAGTGATGGAGAGCAGACGGCTCTCAGAGGACAAGTTATGAGAAAAAACATAGACGTGATAAACACAGCTGTAGCTTCCTTGGTGGGCGGGCTCTGCAGCAGGAAACAGGAAGTAGGCAGAGTTATTGACAGCTGGCTGGGTGTAGTT